AGAGACCCTCTTAAAATCACCGATGGACATGTTCTTAACTACGTAACTAATCCACGAAAATTACAATAAAATTTTGAAAAACTAGAGTATAAGGCAGTGTTTGGCTAGAAATCAGTTTCCGGGTCGGTCAACGCTTCACATGGTGAGATATTTAGAAAACCGCAATCTTTTCGCGTTACATGGATAGTCATTTTGAGTTAATCACGTTATCGTCTCTTATCTATGATACTTTATTAATTTTAGTCAAGTACAATTATGTAAGTCTGTTTTGTCTACGATTTTTTATATTTTTCTTTCTATATATTGTGTGTAAACGACAACTAAGACAGTTCATTTGTAGTGATCGTGGTGTGAACAAACACATTCTAATCATCTGTCTAATCTTTTTTTTTTTCTATACAGGTAGGTGCACGTAAATAATTTTAAACCAATCAATTTGGTAATAAGCAAAAGTGTATATTATTTCCCGAGAGTTTTTTTCTGGATGAATTCTATAATTAAATTACCAAAAATATTTTTGGATCCGCTAGTGCAAATAGCGTTATCGCATAAATTTTAGGTTTTAACCCTTTAAACTGTCTAAAATACACAGCGCCAAAAGGAAAATAAAAATATTACCCAAGATAAAGTTTCTGCAACTCACTAAGCTCGAAAGCAAAACAAGGTCATTGCTTCGAATTGATCACCATATGAGTAAATTCCATTAAATTTGTTGACAAAATGTGACCGGTTCTTATTTTCAAAAGTCATTGCCCGGATAAGAGTAATCTAAAGATTACGAATTTATTGAGAATTATATTTTTCTACGTGGCATATTCACCAGAACCCAGCTCATAAATCTTATTTTCCCAAGTCAGACAAAAAATAAAGGGTTAATTTGTCAAATTAACTAAAATTTTAAAATAACTAGATAAATAATCAAAAAGATTCATGTGGCCAAATAATAATCGTTGGATTTAAGGTATTTGGTTAAGATTTTAATTATATTTTTTTTTATGGTTACCTTTGCTAATTTCCCAAAAATAAATCTCTTTCTGATCTCTCATATTATATACTCAGTTTTTTTTTTTTAGAAAATATTATATACTCAGTTGCATTCAGC